TATCGTCGTTTCTTTACGGCCAACCATCTTGAATATAATTTCTCTTCATATTGGATTTTTTTATTTTCTTCGGCTTCCACATGCTATTCAGCTTGATTCTGGGCTTCAATAAAAGGTTATAAAAATAAGGAAGTTGGATTCTTTTGGGTATTTATTTATTATTTCTTCATTAACCTGTAATTAAAGATAAAAATAGTTATTAGTGGTATATTTATTCATTAAAAATAGATAATGAGGGTATAAAATTATAATAAAATGTGATTATCAAGCCCACGGACACAGCTTAAGCCTACAGATGCAACTCAAACCCACGGACGCAACTCAAGCTCGGACGCTGACGCATCATCTAAACCATGCGTTCAAACGCAGGTTCATGCCTTGAACGCAAATCAAGGCATTTGACTCATTCAAACATGAGTTGAATGGTTCCGAAACTATTTCCCACGATTTAAGGTGGTTACACCCCACTTAGGAGTGATTTAAGGGGTGGTTACACCCTCTTAATCCCTTATAAATAAGAGAAAACTCAACCGAGTTGGGGGTTAGAATTTTTTGGATCAGAAACGGCCTGAAGGGATCGACATTATTCCTCAACGGAGATCATCTTCAACTTCAGCAACAAGGAGCTCGTTCTTGCTATAACCGACTTTCAGTTCAAATCAACTCTTTTATAAGAGTTTAAACTCGCTCTGAGTTCCTAAACTCGTTAAGAGTTAATTTTCAAACTTTCTTTACAAGTTCTCCATAACGTCAAATCATGAGGAGAAGATACTGTTCCAGTGAAGTGATGTGTTTGGATCATCAACGAGAAGCAAACTCGATGCTAGTTTCAAGGGAGACATCTCATTGACACCAAGAAGAACCCAGGTTAAACAAAGGGGAAGATCTTCGTCAATCTTCTTCTCTTTTGTAATCGGAAATTTAAATTGTAATCATTTAGAGATTAAGAGTTGTAAACATTCTTTTTCTAAGTAGTTAGAGGGAATAAATCAAATTCAATTCTTTCATTTTCTTATTACAATTTTTTTCCAACAAATACCGACGAGATCTAAAAGTTCATCAAGGTATAAATTTCTTATTTTTTCCATAAACTTCTCTATATTGTTTAGTTAATATTGTATATCTAGAGGAAATATTTTAATTATGATTATCAATATAGAAAAAAAAATCTAATTTGTATATGATAAATTTTAATTCTTCAGTTAAAATGGTGAATGGAATACCAATCATTTGCTTATTTAATGGAAAACTGAGTGTTGGAATGAATATATGCCTATATACGGAGACTCTAGAAAAGTGTTCATATTACCTAGAAATTACAATTTTGATAGAATGATGAAGCAAATATACAGAATTACTGGAATTAATCATGTTGAAAATGCCATTAAGATCTTCTGTAATTATCCAATAAATAAAAAAGAACAATTGCTATAGAGATCACCAATGATGAAGAATTAAATGACATGATACAACTTGTAAAAAAATAAATCTCAATCGAGTTGTTCATTGAAAATATTCCAATGTCTAGGGTCGCCAAAGTTTCATATGTTCACAGAGAGTTCTCCCGCATGCTTAAAAATCAAATCTCGTTATCTCAAAGTGCCTTGAACTTAAAAAATGACTCAGGTGCAATGTCAAGAACGTGTTCCACAATGTGTCGGGTCATGTTTTAGTTAATTTACCGGTTGATTCTATAATAGAAGAGGATGAGGATGTAGATGCCGATGATGATAATGAATATGTTAAAGAGGAGGAACGTCTTGATAATATGCAGTGTGCAATTAGAGAGACCAATGATGACGTAAGTTGGATGGATGAATATTGCGTAAACAACGATTATGTAGAGTCTGAAAAACCGTTGCCAGAAGAATTTGAAAATGACGAGTGGATAAATGCCTCACAAGTTGAGTTCGTTGAGCCTGGTCCTAATTTTGATCGACCCGAGGACTTCACTTTCAAAAAATGAGATCTTTTCGAGAATAAGGAAATGTTAGTTTTCGCTATACGTGAATGGGCAATTAGGAACCGGGTCAAATTCAAGCCGGTTAAAACCAATACAACTAACTACCATGTAAAGTGCTACTTTAATAAGAAAGGTCAAAGAGAGAATACAAGTACCGTAGACGATAGAAATTCAAAGTGTCCATGGAAGCTTAATACAGCTGTTAGGAAAAAAATCTAATGGGCAATTTATGATCTTAAGTTATTGCATACTTCATACATGTTGCAATCCGACTGTAAATAATGATCATAAAATAGTAACTTCCGCTTATATCATGAAGCTAATTATGCCCGAAGTTAGGCAGGAACTTGATCTTACTCCGGGACAGATAATTACAAGGGTATACGATATGAAAAAATAACTATATCCAAGTATAAAGCATATGATGTACAGAGGAAGGCGTTGACTAAAATATTTAGAGATTGGGAGGAATCTTACCAACTACTTCATCATTATCTTGTAGCAATTAAGAGGAAAAATCCGGGTACCGAATATGAGATAGTGTCTAAGGATATCACGCTGGAAATGGAGAGGTTCATCTGGGTATTTTGGGCATTTAGGCCCATTATCAAAATGTTCTCTTTTTGTCATCTGCTCTTAAGCATCAATGAAATGTATTTATATGGAAAGTACAAATGGTGAGCTATTTCCAATAGCTTTCGCAGTTGTAGAGGTGGATAATACATTGATTTGGAAGTGGTTTTTTCAATTTATTTACATATACATTCTAACTATTCAAAGTCCAAGAGTTGTTACTTTTATTTCTGACTGGATGAAAGGAATTACACGAGCCTTACACGAGGGGTGGAGTGCACCACATCATCACCGCTATTGCTTGCGGTATATAAGAGCTAATTTTAAGAAAAAACATGGAGGGGCCAATTTACAAAATTTATTGTGGCAAGCCGGGTGTGCCACTGACTCACTAGTATATGAGCATTGTAGGGAGAAAATTAAATCCCTATCAGTTGAAGCACACAATTGGATTGAATAAAACTTAAAGCCGCAATACGAATATCGATGGGCATTATGTAAATATGGTGGAGTGCGCTATTGTATGATGATAACTAATTACTCTAAAAGTTTTAATGGCGTACTTAAGGGTGTCTGTGCTATGCCAATTCAAGCCTTAGTTGTAAGGACATTTTATAGATTAAACACATACTTTAATAAGAGACGTAGTGATGGTGAAAATTTGATGAGTAAGTACACTCCAAAAAATAAGATAATTTTGCAGAAAATAATTGTGGCTGTCAGAGCATGTAGAATTAAACCATTCAACGACAATGAATGAGAGGTTAAAAATTGTGATGGTACTTACACCCTCCATCTATATGACCAGGAGTATAGTTGTACTTATAGTATATAGTAATTACAAAAATTATCATGTGAACATGTTTTAACAGCTAGTTCCAGTCAGGATGGTGGTGCTAGATTGCTTATGATCGGTATTGTTCAGCTTGATATTCAACAAATCATTATCAAAAGGCTTATAAGGAGAGTTTTCATCCTCCCGACGATACTCATTATTGGTCGGATTTGTATATACCATATATATTATCACCTCAATACAAAAGACAAGCATGACGACCTCACTCTGTACGTATTAGAAGTACTATGGATCAAGGCCGTGAAGGAGTAGCGTCACAAATCAGATGTGAACAATGTAATCAATTAGGGCATAAAAGATCTCGTTGTCCATCAAGAGCAAGTAGATAGCAATTAATTGGTAAAATATTTTCTATTTCTATCTCTATTTTTATTATTATAGTCTTATTGATTTGGCAGAAACTAATAAGTTAATAATTATATATGCAGGTATATACACGATGCTTCCCAGGTTGGTTACTGATGAAGTCCTTTATGATCAGGAACACCATTGTTCAGAGAGCATATCATTTACATCGGTAACGATTCTCTATTTTTTAGTCATAAGTTTATAGACACATATTAATTATTCATTGTTATATTGTAATATTTGTTTTCATTTTGTGCAGAGAGGACAAGAGTTGGTTATGATTGATCATAGCCTTGGACATACACGCTGGCCACATGATGATCCTCGCATTACTGCTCTAGTATTCCAAGCTGGTTGTCTCACTTGCTCATGTTTGTGTCGAAAATTGATTTCTTCATTGTTATTGAATCTATTACAATCGTTTATCGATTACAAATTCAAAAAAAAAAGTCGATCTTTTTATAAGATCTTCTTACACAATAAAAAAAATAAAAAAAAATACAATCTCCTTAAAATACACACAACGGACGTTCATCACCCGCTGCTTCACATGAGATCTTTGCCTGTACCGGGGACGTGTTAGTCCGTGGATCACTGCGGATTAGATCCGGTTGACAGATTGATGATCAAAGCTCTTACTTCACAAAGAAAGTAATCACAGAAGTGATAATCTCGACCAAGCAAGATTACGACTCTTCTCAAGATCAAAACCAAGTTTGATATGGAGGAAATGTGAAACGGGTCTCAAATCTCTCGAACTCTCCTTCTTTATGCTAAAGAACTTCACTAAGATCTGTTAAGCTCTCTGAAATTCGTGCTCCACTCTTCAATTTGACAACACCTCACACTCTGATTTCAGCCCCTTGCAAACGAAGGCCCTAGGCTTGTATTTATAGGCTTCGGTTGTATTATTTTCGGATAAGAATTGATGATTTGACGTTATCCGCAATTAACAACCACTTAACCATGTTCAGATATAGTATCAAAGCAGTTAAGAGGCTCTGAAACGATCAAATCCCATGAAAACCCGTCTGTAACGCCCCTGGTTTCAATAAGGCTGCAGTCCGAGGTAAAACCAAGAATGTCAAACCTGCCATGCACTACACCGTGCAAAAACATGTTTCACCATCACAATAAGTATCTATATAGTGGAATCAATAATGGGTGTAGATACAAACAGACAAAAGAAAATGTACGGTAGATATATTAAACAACAGATATTCTGAAAGAAATAACCACCACTGATATAAATCAAAAGAATCTCAGAAAAGGAACAATATCTGAACTGAGTACAACTGTCTTGACATAGAACAAAGGACATGACAATAAGGCATCTTGCCTTTACAAAATTAGAAATAACATCTCAATGTTCATAAACCAAGTCGTCGTGGAGTCCTAAACATAATCTGCTAACTAATAAAATATCTATAAGTAGTAAGTAGAGCAAATCCATCAAGCTACAGCTCTCCGTGCACCTGGCTCGTTACCTGAAAGTGGGTGATCTTTATTAATCTGAAAACATGTTCTTTTGCAATATACAATATAAAGATCAACTTTTATACTCAAACTAGCATGTTAGGCTCAATAAAAACCCGTGAAAAACATCATTTAAAAGCATTTAAAACTGGGTGCAGGGTTGGGTGAGATGAAACTCGCCTGAAGGGTGATGAACAACTGTGGGTAAGGTCGTGAGGGGGTTCTTCTTCGCTGAACACCGCTGGATCTCGCTCGAACTCCTCGAAATCCTCCAAGAATCAGCCAAAGAATAAGCTAGGGTTTGCAAAAGGGTAGGGGGAGGCTGCTAGGGTTTTCTGTGATGAAGAGGAGGCTCTCCCAAATTAATTAATATATATATAAGCTCTCAAAACTGACCCAAAACCCAAAACAACTCGGACTGGGAAAACAGTCTGATCGCTGTGCGGTCGACTACCATGCCACGCGCGATCGACCGCACAGCAGAAATTTGCTGTGCATGAACATATCGTATGCTGGTCTTTTCCACTTGATTTCTCTCACATAATCATACTTATTTGATCCTAAAACACTTGTTATCATACTCCTCTATGATATAAACATATTTTTCACAATAAAAACTTATTTATTTAGTTATACGGGGTTTTACACCGTCGAAAACGCGTTTTTCGGCTAAAAACTGTGCGAGCCACCATTTGGGAGCTCGACCATTGGCCAAACCACTGGCTTTGGTCAAGTCATTTTGGTGCGACTCTGTCACCAGGGGTTGTTCTGGTTTTTCAGGTTTTGACTTGTTTTGTCATTACGCGCATTTCGTTATTTCGTTGATTTGTACGCTTCACTAATTCACTTCATACGTTTCGTTAACTTAGAGGCAGTTGACGAGTGCGTTTGCCACTTGGAACTGGTCGGTGAGCGCGTTGGTCACTTAGAGCTGGTCGGTGAGCACACGGGCTACTCGAAGCTGGCCGATGAACGCACGAACCACTCGGAGCTTGCCGGTGAGCGTGCGGACCACTTGGCGGTGGCTTGTTGTTACATCATCAACGGTTCGCTGATTCGCTTCATGCACTTGTTAGCTGATTAACGTATTTTATTACATTTTACACACTCATTATCTAATCATTTTAATGAATAATTATACTAATAATAACATTTTAGCTTAGGTTGTACATAAATGAATAAAAGCATAAATAAATATTATTTAATATAAAAACCCACAAAATATCTCTCTCTATTTTTCAGAATTTTAGAAGCTCAAAGATCACAACCCATGAAGCCCATGAAGTAAAGAGAAAAGAAAATCAAAGAAATAAAGCATGAAGCCCATGAAGCAAAGAGAAAAAAAAAAGCATGAAGCCCATGAAGCAAAGAAGCCCAAAGAGAAAAAAAATCAAAGAATTGAAGCAAAAGCCCAAAAATCACATTTGAACTCATACGTAACATGAGTGTGGGTTTTTGATTTTTTTTTATGAGTTATAGGGTTTTGGATTGTGGATAGGATATTGTATGGGTTTTCAAAAATAAAATCATTTTTTTTATTTTTTAAGGTCCTAATTGTTTCTAATTGTGAAGAACAAACTAAAGGGGTGAAATTGAAAATTCTAGAAAGAATAGTTACCTCAAGCAAATCCAAAATGTGAATCAAACTTCAAGCTAATCTCAAAATCTTCAATCTTCAATCCTTAATCTCAAGCTCCAAGTGGTTCCTTCACAAGAAAACACACAAGTTAAAGTACCAAAATAATTAAAATATAACAAAAACACCGTTCCCCGGCAACGACGCTAAAAATTCGATGAAACAAAAACATGTACCAAATGTTGCAAGTGCACAACCAATCAAGTTATAGTATAAAAAGTTATCGATCCCACGAGGAAGGTATTTGTAAGAAATAATTAGATTCAGTTCTTATGTTGTGTGTGACAATTAGGAGTGGTTAGAAACAAGTAAATGAAAAGGAAACGTTTGTTTGTTTTGTAGGTTTGTTGTTTGTTGCATTATGTCCAAAATAAAACTTTGATTTAGAGGGGAGAAGAATAAATAAATAAACTTATACAAAAAAGAAGGAAAATAAAAAGAAAAGGCAATTCCCTAAAGGGTTCTAGCCTCAATGTGAATTAAAAAAATAAAAAATAAACAAAAATAGAAACTAAACCCAAGAGGGTTCTAGCCTCAAGGTGAATAGTATAAGAGAGGAAAAATATAATCTATGAATGAAATTACAAGACATGAATTAAAAGCAAGAAATAAATCTAAGCTACGAAAGGAAATACAAAAGAAAGTAAAAAATAAAGAAAAAAAATAGAAACTTAATTTCAAGGGGGTTTTCCTCTCCTTGAATTTAAATTCCGGTGAACAAGATTGTATTAAATGTAAAATAAATTATAAGTTTGAGGGTTTCTCAATCAATAGTAAACTCCTCATATAAAACTTTCACACCCTCAATCTCTCATACTCTCCTCTATTTATACACCAAAATATCTAAACCTCATAATTAAAATACAATATTTTAACTCTCACTACACCCATACCACAATACAAAAACCCATACCATATCCTATCCACAATCCAAAAACCCATACCATATCCTATCCACAATCCAAAACCCCATAACTCATAAATAATCAAAAACCCACACTCATGTTACGTATGAGCTCAAATGTGATTTTTGGACTTTTGCTTTATTTCTTTGATTTTATTTTCTCTTTGGGCTTCTTTGCTTCATGGGCTTCATGCTTCATTCCTTTGATTTTCTTTTCTCTTTGCTTCATGAGCTTCATGCTTCATTTCTTTGATTTTCTTTTCTCTTTACTTCATGGGCTTCATGGGTTGTGATCTTTGAGTTTCTAAAATTCTAAAAAATAGAGAGAGATATTTTGAGGGTTTTTACATTAAATAATATTTATTTATGCTTTTATTTATTTATGTACAACCTAAGCTAAAATGTTATTATTAGTAGAATTATTCATTAAAATGATTAGATAATGAGGGTGTAAAATGTAATAAAATACGTTAATCATCAGCGTCAGATAATCCTTCTTAACTAGAATGATGACGTTCATCGTCTTCTCTCCGTCTCGAGCTATGTTCGAGGACCTATAGGTAATTTTTAACACCTACAGATATCTCCTCCAAAGTGTTTCAGTCTCGTTTCTTTTATAGAAGAGCCTGAAATACTTTGGATGCAATAAGCCCAACCTTTAGTCATTGTAAAAGGACCTGTATTCGGTTTCAGTTCTTGACTTCTTTAATTCTAAGTCTATTCAGTATTTTGTCGAATAGCTAAAATTCATTCAGCTCTGCATTTATCGTCTGACTGTTGTCGAAGTCTTGAGTTGAAACTAGTGTGTTGATTTCTAAACTTAGCTCGTGTCATTGAGTCAACGTTAAACTGCTCGTCTTTATCAGGAGTTGGTATCTGAATGTGATTGAACTCCCTGGAATCATCCTTTAACCTAGAATTTTTCCTTAGCCTTATTTTGGTGAAATTATCGATGTGTTGATCGGCGTTAACCTTTGATGTAACGCGTTGACCGGCGTTAATATAGTTTATACTCGTACGTTTTCTGGAGTCTATACAGTTTAAGCTCTTATGGCATTGGAGCGTGGCGATCTCAACTGTTGGAGCTGCAGGACTAACTGTTAAACCTGATTCGTCTGCATGTATGAATCTTATACTGAGGTTGTTGGATGTTCAAGTCACGAGACCAACTAATGAAGCTGGTGTGTCAATGACTTTTACATTTATAGGATTTTTGGAAAACACTCAGCCATTAATAGGTTTGATGAGCCTTTACCGACTACCGTTTAAGTCTATTCCGCATGTAACATTATGCTAAAAGAGTTAACTCTTTTAGAGCTACGATATTAAATACGTAGACTTTATCTTTCTTACGGGAATAGACTACCCGAAAATGAGTGTTAGGTGCTGACTTATCTCTTCTTAAAATTCAAGATAAAAACCCTTAGACTTGGATTCTGGTGCCTTTTTTTCACTCGGTGAAAGACTAAATTGGCAACCCGTGTTAGGCGCTGATTTATCCCTTCTTAGGATTCGGGATAAAACTCTTCATGCGTATAAAGCACGGATTATGATGTTATTAATAACAACCTGTCATAATGTCGAATATGTGGGTTTTTTTATTCTTTTTATGGTCAAAGACTAACCGACAACGCATGTTAGGCGCTGACTTATCCCTACTTAGGCTTCGGGACAAAATTCACCAGACTTAGATTCTGGTGTCTTCTTCACTCGGTGAAAGACTAAACCGACAACACGTGTTAGGCGTTGACTTATCCCTTCTTAGGATTCAGGATAAAATTCCCTACGCGTGTGAATCACGGATTTTGGTGTTGGAAGGTGGTGTCTTCTCTTAGGGCAAAGACGCACCCGATGCTGGAGAGGAAAAATTTTATATTCTATCTCCAGGTGTAAAAAAATTCAAAGTGGAATCTCTACTTCGAGAATAAAAAAGATTCGGATAACCCTAACTATCGGAAGGTTTGATTACCCAATCTGAAGATGCATTTCTCATTTATCGAGAGGGAACTCTAGTTTTGGTCCTAACTGTAGGAAGGTTTGACCAAGTGGGAGGTTTGAGACGACCCTAACTGTAGGAATGTTTGATCACTCGATTTAAAAGCTAACCTCTCATTTATGAAAGGAAGAATCGAGAGGGGATTTTGGTTTTAGTCCTAACTATAGGAAGATTTAACCAAGAAACAGCGAGAGTGAAGATACGGCTAACACTGAAAATGTAGACCCGTACAAATCACTCAGTGGGGTTTTGCTGTCAAGTGGCTAGGGCTTAACATGAAGGGGTTTGAAAATCGCTATGGATCAACAACTTGAATTTTTGAATATTGTGTTGAGATTTTGATATTGGGAGTGTTAAGTGCACAAACACAGCGGGAGTTTGAATAAACTCAGCCGAAAGAATTTTGGTGGACCCATTGTAAGTTAATTTGATTAGTGAGGGATTTTGTGGTAGAGGACCATGAATAATCAAGCACTCCATAGTTACACTATGGGAGTTTCGTGAGGGAAGATTGACCGGATGAAGTCATTGAATCTCATCTCGACGAAAGAGTGCTCGGAAAATCACAGTTGGTGGGTTTTAATCATCTTAGAAATGATTAAATAGCCATAGTGGGAGGTTTTTAATCAAAATTAGGAATGAATTATTCTGATGACTGGTTTTCACCATGAATAATTAGTTTTGGGTTATCCTTATCCTTAAGAATACCATGTGTAGTATCCTTCCGGAACTTTCCTTTAGAATACATTAAGGTATTCCACCCCCAGCTCTTTGGCGAACCTGAATCTAATTGTATTCGGCCATATTGTTGGTTTATCCTTAAGAATATTAAGTGTAATATTCTCTAGGAACATCCCGTTAAAGGAAATAAGGGAAGTAGTTTAACCTCGTATACCCTTCGGAGGAATGGGAGAAGCAGTTTAACCTCTTATACTTATCAGAGGATAGGGAGAAGCAATTTATACTCTTATACTTATCCGAGTGAACCGTTCTCATTCGGCTCATTTCGGCATTATTATGCCAACGTCAACCAAGGCTTGAATGTTGTTCTTGAGAGTGAAGCAAGCCTTAGTGGGATGAATGATCCTCCTGTGGTATACATAGTACTTTGAATCCGAAGTATTGTTAGCTTCCTCCTGATTTGTAATAGGTGGCAGCTTGATTTTGTTATTTTAAAGGAGGTATTTGAAAATAGCTGGAACCTCTTCATCCTTGAAGGAGTACTCTTTTTAGAGTCTCGTATCGGGAGTCCTTCGCTGCTTCTGAGGTTACTATTATGATGTCTGATTAGTGTCAATAGCCGCTGCAGGTGTCTTTCCCTTACCACGAGAAGCAAAATTCGAGTTCAGGGGTTTAGTCGTCGGTTGGCCTCTTTCAAGCTTTTTTCTTTTGAGAAAACGTTCGGTCTGTTCTCCGCGCAGTTTTAATTCTTTCCATGTTATGGATGACATGACCCCCACGGCTTCCAGAACATTGATCGAAAGATTATTATGACATGTCTGTAAGATGAACTCCTCTGTGACAGGATCCCTGTAATTTATTGCCTTGTTACGGTAGCGTTTAACAAAGCTATCAACTGACTCCCTGTTCTTTTGCTTCTCGTCCAAAAGCACTCCAATCGACACTTTGGTGTCATCGTCGAAGAAGTTGTTGATGAATGAGTTTTTCATGTCGTTCTAGTTGTTGATACTTCCTAGCTTGAGACGGCGGTACCAATTGAAGGCGACCTCGCGAATGGTGCCAACGAATAGCCGAACCATCAAAGGTTCATTGCCGGAGATCACACCCAGGTGGGACTTGAAGTAAATTTGGTGTTGAGTGGGTAGGCCCTTTCCATCGAATGACGTGAAGTTAATTAGATTGAACTTCGTCAGATATGGGATTGACTCTCACTCCCTTGGATATGGGCATGGAATGCCCGTTTTCCTCACTTCATGAGCGGACATCAGTGTGTTGTTCTTGTTCACTAGGTCTTTCATTTTATCATCCTTGCCCGCATTTTCCTTCGGGCAATTTTGGGGAGGAATAACTAGACCACCCCTAGTGTTGTCATCCTCGGTGGGACCACCCCTAACATTTTGGTTAACAGGAGGGGTATCAGCGTTAAGATTTTCATCAACTTCTGAATCGCTATTTCCGTGATTAGTAGTATTGCGATGGCTAGATTCACCAATTTGATTTGATAAGGCTTTAATCTGTTGATTATGCAGTTCCCTTATCTGTTGCACAGTCATTTTCATTTCAAATTTGAAATTTTCTTTCTGCTTGGCCAGAGCGTCTTCGAGGATTTTGGCCATTTGTTCAGCGTTGATCATGAACGACTCACGAGATTGTTCTGTGCTGGACAACATATTGTCGAAGTGATCACGGAATTAGCGTCTGATGTTTTATCCTCTGAGGAGTGTCCTCTATTCGGTCTAGGTTGTCTAGTTCCTGATCGTAACCAAGCGATGTGCTGAGATGCCTTCGAGAAAGAGTCAAGGCTGTAACGCCTTGTCGATTTTCCTCTATCGGCCACATTGATGGTAACTTCTGGAAGCTCGTCATCATGATCGACAGAT